GTATATATTGAACCAGGAAAAAAATGGCTTGTGTGTTGGCTTTCTGGACTATTCTGAGTGTGTATGGAACTGTATTCTTGCAACCAGTCTATAGATCAGTAGGAATTGGGATGTTTTTTTTCAATACACACTTTATGTTTCTCATTCCTCAGTTATCTTTGTTGGATTTCTTTGTCATATGTTCCTTTCTATAAAGAAAGTTTGGTATATCTTAAACATTGTTTTTCTAGTATAATTTGCCATCAAAGTTGTTATACCTTTTAACAGTTATCTTTGAAAACATTTTATACTCAGTTCTAAGTAACACAAACCTCTCCCAATAGTGACAACAGAGAGCCAATATTGTTGGCATACACAGCTTGGTAAATGTCCTGATCAATGTAGCTGAGAATAGATAATAGGTTTAGTCACATTCTAAAATTTACTGATTTTGAATGCTCTTATGGATGTCAGTTTAATTTTCTGAAACACTTCACAATTTGCAATGGACCATAGATAATTTGCAAGATTTCGAAAACATGAGTGCAGTTGACAATTTTGTCCATCTTTATCATATTCTGGTTTTTCACTAATCCATTGAGGAAATGTGGATAACTGAATTTTGACAATAGTATGAGTGGTTTTAATTGAACAAAGGCTATTTTTGTAAAACTTCATTTGAAAGAATTAAGTTTTCACACACAGAAATATAAACAAAAAAATCAATCTAAAAATTTAGCTTTATGGAAAAAAAAGAATAAAAACAAACAATAGATTTAAATGTAAAATCTAAACAGTGTAGAACTACTAGAACTAAACACAGAAGTAGGTCGTTAAGACTTGGAATAGGCAAGAATTCTAAAGTACATTAGCAAAAGCATAATCCATAAAAACAACATTTTAAAAATAGACTGCTTTAAAATTGAAATAGTTTTCTCTTGTATCACCATTGTTAAGATCATAAAAATGAATACTGGGAAAACATTTTCAAATCACTTACCTTACAAAGGAAACATTGGAAAATATGCAAAGAATGGCCAAAAAAATAACAGCTTGAAAAGGAATAAACAAATGCATAAAAGTGTTAAATATTTAACATACTTGTGATATACAGAAGATAATATTCACATAAATGATGTCCACTATCATTAACCATAATTAAAATTAAAATTAAGACCCTTAATAAATATTGTTATAAATGTGTTCTAATAGCTAAATTTAATATAAAATAAATTTTAAGGTAACAAAATTCAAAATTTGTGACTACTACCTATGACTAGAGGTAATTCAGTGCATAAGAATGATCTTTTTAAACCAAGTGTATCCCTCTATCAGTCTTTAAATGTGTATAAATCTATTACTGTTTGCCATAGCTATATCAAATGTTACTCTCTGTTGTGTTTTGTGATTATGCATCTAAATAGGTTTGTTTCTCTGGGTATTACAGATTCCTGATCCATCTTATTACACTCATTACATTAGAGAAGCCGACATTAACCTGAGCTGGTCCTTTACTGTGAACTTCATGTACTCACTGCTTGGAATTTTATTTTTGATGATAGAGGTCAGGTTCTGATCATAGAGTGTCTTACTGGTCACTTGGGAGTTCATTTTGAAATTAGATTTTGTAGCTTCTCTTCCAGGTATCTATGATGAAATGTTACATAGGAGTTTTGTAAGAAAATTCTGCATGCCTTTTTCCAGCTTATACACCTGAAAGGAACAGAGAAGACATTTTCTTGAAAACTTTACCCCATGTCTCCCCATCTCTAAATTAGGGCATGATGTTGCTTACCTGACCAAGGTAGATATGATGAAGAAGACCCATGTTCAAGATAACATAGGGGTTTGGCTAGGTTCATAACTCTGTCATTATAATTTTCAATGACAGAAAAATTTTCCAGCTCAACACATTACGTAGGTTGTATCTTTTTAAAGATATTTAAATTTATATGTTAAGCAAAGTGTTTATAGCCCTCTAGTGTTTTTTATGTTTTTAAGCTCAGCTTTCTTAATTTAAAAAACAAGAGTGGGGGCAGGGAGGGGAGACTTTATGAAAAAATATATGGCCATGTAGAATTTTGGTTGTACCAGAATCCTTGATTGGCAACAGAATGGTCTAATTCAATTAGAGGTCTCCTTGGGAAAGAAGTTGATCCCTAGAGCAGAAAATATTTACTACATAAAGAACATTATTAGTTCTGCCAATGGACTACATTTGAGAAAGCAGTGGGCCTATTTTTCAAATAAAATAAATTACTGACATAAGAAAGCAACTTCTCTTTCATTTTGCTCTTACTTCTTAATCAGTTAATAAAGGTAAGCATTATATTTGACCATAATCCAAATAGGTAAAAATCAATACTGATGTCTAACACAAATTTATTGTATACATTTCCATATATTTATCTTTTAAATGTAGAAAGTTTTGAAAATGTGTTCTTTATTTGAAAACACTGATTCACATGGATGTTGTACTTAGTTGTAACATCAAAGGATATAAAAATGTAATGTGATTCTTAAACTAATGAGCCCATATCTTAATGACTATCATCATTTTCTGTATCATCATCATTTTATATGCAAACATTTAAGCTGTTACTATGTGTTAAGAATGTATTTTGTATGCAATGAATCTAGGGATATTATGTTATAAAACAGAATTTTATACTATTAACCAACAAGTAGGTAAAAAGTATTATTGAAATGGCTTTGCATTTTATCCTGGAATTATCAAATGATGATATCATTATCATTATTATTATTTGATTGCTATTTTTATCATTGTTCCTATATCACTCTCTAGGCTGAATTTTAAATGAATAAGTGAATGAAATATCATTAATATGCAGGACAGTATAGTAAAACATTTCCTGAATAGTCTCAAACTGAATCATCTTTGAAATATTATGAAAGACAGACTACAGATTATTTTGAAAACTCAATTACAGTTGTTTTCTATATGGGAGTGCACCTATTTCTTTTTGTTTCCTTCAATTTGGTTGTAAGTAATGCATGTAATTGAACATTCAGATTTTTTCATTCATATACACCTATGTCATGCTCAAATCAGAGCAAATGTGTCTCCTCAAATATCTATCAGTTCTTTATGGTGAAAACCTCCAAATTATTTTATTTCACTTGAATTAGCAATACAATTTTGTTATCTATAGTCTCACTCCTTTCAATGGCATACCAAACCTCCCAGTGCAAATAACTAGGATTCATACACATTAAGCAACTCACTGATCCCTCCAGTGTCCAGTCCCCCCAGTTCATTAACTTCCATCATTCTAGTCTTTGTTTGATGAGATCAACTTAGAGCATCTTTGCAGTGATCAAAATAAAAATACAAGAGGCTTGCTGAGGATGTGGCTCAGTGGTAGAGTGCTTGCATATCAGATATAAAACCTCAGCTTTATTTGATAGCAATGCAAAATAAATAAACAAAGTAAATAAATAATAGACTTATGCAATTGTGGAAGATAGTATTTTTTTATATTTATACACATATACATATACATTCATACATATATATGCATTCATATATATATATATATATATATATATATATATAGTATAGGCTTTAAATAATTACTTTCATATAAAAGATGGTAAAGTTAATGTATATTTAACTTTCCTTCTTGAATTCACAGAAAATCCTTTGGATACTCAAGTTTTCTCACTGCATTGCTACTTTCACACTTCCCTCTAAACATCTTTGAAGTTGAAATATGGTAACTGTCCACACTTAATGGGTCTCTGCATATGATTAGAGTTGTGTCTCCCCTTTGCAGTGAATTAGTCTCTTTTAGCATTTGAATGACTTAACCCAGGAGGCAGATGGGAAAAAAAATGCTACTTTTGCAAAAGTAAATGAAACTACAAAAATGCCTACTCACCCTCGCTCCCAACTTTATCACACAGAACAAATGAACCATGACATACATGTAAGACATGCTCAATCCATAGCTGAAGGTCTGCATTTTGTCTGGGAACCAGTCTTACACCTTTGGGATTGGTCCAATGAAGCAGTCAGTGTGACATACATGCAATTTGTTCAGAAGGTAAGCAAATAAAATTTTCTGAAGCAATTATGCAATCCAATGTACATAAAATATGTAGACAATCTTAAGAAATTTATAATCTAGGACCAGAGATAAAGTCAGAACATAGGAAATGCAAATAATCACATTCCAATATAATTTTACACATCAATGCACTCCCACACACAAGGGAATTGACTTAATGAAACAAACAAGGTCAACAACATACAGCACAGAGAGCACTGAGTGATTTAAGATGACCTCATAGATGAGTTGATATTACTGCTTTTTTTTACACAATAAATAAGTAAAGTAAGTGTGCACATTTTAGTCAGAATTACTTTCTGGACATGGGTGTACATGTGTATACTTCTCCCTGTTGAGCTTTCCAGACAATAAAGACATATAGATTTCTTTTTTTTTCAAAACTACAAAATCTGAATAAAGTGTATAATTACCCTTGTATATACTTTAAATTGAAATACATACACATGATCCAGTAAGAAATAATTTTCAAAAATTTATAATGCGCAGTTTATTATTATTTCTTCATAATAAAATCACCAAGAATCAGAAAGTCAAAGATGAACTGGATGAAGGAAATGTGACAGAAAAAAATATATATAAAAATTGAATTTTTTCATTTATCAGAACAATGCCAAAGGTTACACAAAATATTTATTAAAAATTAAATAAACTTTGAATTGCTAATAAAGGAAAATAGATCTGAGACCTTTTCTCCTCAGAAAGACAAGGCAACTGAACAATGAAATCATGGCTGTATTTAATACAATTTTTACCAGGAGTGCATTTATGTAAAATAAAAAAAAATATGTTAAGCTATAATCTTAGAACCCCTAAAAGTTTTTGTTCAAAAGTAAACACAGAAATCAGTAGGTTTGCCATCACTGCATTATACATGAGAACACAAAAGCCCAAGAAGCAAAATGATTTGTACTTCTGGTTCACTCTTTCCCACAGATGAAGTATGAAGAGATACAAGCTGAAGAAAATGTCTCCACAGTGGCTCAGTTTGTTCTGCTGGGATTTTCTGAACTTCCAAACCTCCAAGGCTTTCTATCTGGAGTGTTCTCCATCATTTACATGGTTATCCTCATTGGGAACAGTCTCATAGTCATAATAACCAGGCTGGACCCTGCGCTGCACAAACCCATGTATTTTTTCCTGGCACATTTTTCTATACTGGAAATCTGTTATGTTTCAGTCACTCTCCCGAGGTATCTGGTCAGTCTTTGGACTTGGGATAGTAGCATCTCCCTACTGAGCTGTGCCACCCAAATGTGCCTCTTCCTTGCAGTGGGAACTGCAGAATGTTTCCTCCTGGCTGTGATGGCCTATGACCGCTACGTGGCCATCTGCAACCCTCTGCACTATCCTGTAGTCATGACCCCAAAGAAGTGCCATCAACTGGCCATTGGCTCCTGGCTCGGGGGAATGCCAGTCCAGATAGGGCAAACATGCCGAATATTCTCTCTGCATTTCTGTCATACTAACCAAATCAACCACTTCTTCTGAGAGATACCCCCAATTCTCAAGCTAGCCTGTGGGAATACCTCTATACAGGAGATATCTATCTATGTAGTAGTGATGTTGGTTGCTGCGGTCCCTTTTCTGTTGATACTAGCCTCTTATAGCAAGATCATTTCCACCATTCTGAGGTTGCCAACAGCCCAAGGACGCACTAAGGCATTCTCCACTTGCTTCTCCCACCTTCTGGTTGTAGTTTTATTTTTTGGAACAGCTTCGATGATTACCTACTTCAGGCCCAAATCCAATCATTCTGCAGGAACTGACAAACTGCTCTCTCTTTTCTATACTATAGTGACTCCCACATTCAATCCTGTGATATATACCCTCAGGAACCAGGACGTGATTGCTGCATTCAAAAGACTCTTGCTTAAAACATAGTGTTCAGAGTTTACTAGAGGTTGTTTTACCATATATCACAGTTATCAGAGAAATATTTCGACTCTCTGCATTCTCCTTTTGGAGGGTAATGTTTTTCAAGCTTATGATGTAATTTGTTATATTTAAATTTTATCCTGGAATCTATTTTGTTCACCTTATTTATGTAGGGAACTTTATCTGTCATTGTGATCACACCTAAAGAAAATAATTTCTCATGAATAAAATGTTAATGTGTATCACATTTGCCCTAAAAATATATTAGCAGAATTTAAAATTTAAGATCTTATGCATTGAATTTAATGGAAATTTACTAAATTTAATGAAATTTACCTAAATGTCTATACCTGTATAGACTGAAATTCTTCTTTATTATATTGCAGGTAGGACACAGTTAGCAAAGGTATTTGTATAATGGATGTTTATTCAGGAAATAGTAAACTGATTAAGTGGATAAGTGAATGTTACTTTGGCCTACCACAGTGTTCTAGCAAAATCTATACTTTTTTTGTTATCAATAGGAATTAAGATAACTATGCACGAAAGTGGAATACTTCCTGAATAATACCAAAATAAAAGATGCATGGGCCAGGTAGAGTGGTGCATAGCTGTAATCCCAGAAAATCAGGTGGCTGAATCAAGGAAATCTCAAGCTAGAACCTGCCTGTGTATTTGGCAAGATCCTCAGCAAGTTAGCAAGACCTTGACACAGAATAAAAATAAATAAATAGAAACGATTGTTGGGGATCTTAGCAAAGTTGTAAAACATCCCTGTGTTCAATCACTGATACAAAAAATTATAAGGAAAATATAGAAAAAAGAGTCTTACATGCATGCAGGTCTTACCTTCTCCTCCAAACAACTTGCCATGAGAGCACAAGAAACAATACAACACCACTATCTCTCAAAACTGATTTTCTTTTGCTCCATATATTTTCCTGCTTTGATGTCATGGTCCCACAATACCTTTCATAATTATTTTTTCATCCCCCAACCTTTATTTATTTATTTGTGGTGCTGGGGATTGAACTCAGGATCTTATGCATACCAGGACTGTCCTCTATCCTGAGCCACATTCTCAGCCCTTATCTGTTTCTGTACTATACTCCATCAGTCAGGCCTAAAACTTTTCCTATTTTATGCTGTCTCTATAAGTGCAGATGTGCAAGGAAGTTTTGGAAGCTATTTTCAGTAACATGTAAAGTCCTCATAGCTGCACTGCAATTCCTCACCTTTGCTTTAATGCTTTGAATTCACTCTAAACTCATTAAAATCATTAAATCTTTGAGCTGACACTGAAGAAAGGAGCATTAATCTAGACAACCAGAAATGCCCACCCATTCACTGTTACACTCTAAAATAAGTTGTCTTTCTGTTTGTTTGTTTTGTGCATCTGAGCATCACTCTGTCTGTTGCTTTAAATGTGATACTCTTACAATGCATGAACATGCTAGCTCCTGTCCTGGAAATATTACATTTCTACTTTATCAATCTATATGCATCTTTCACCAACTATAGTAATGTTTTACATTTATTCATTTGTGTATTTTATTCCTGAAAGTATATGTGCATATTCATTTAATGCTTTATATTGAATCTGGAATTTGGCATACAGGTCCTGAGGAAGACCATGCTAATATGACTGTGGTGATAAAGGTGAAGTTTATAGAGGAGATGCTTGTGGTAGTTGTTTATTTTCTGAAATTTGTTAAAACAGGAATCACACTGGTGCTGGCACCAACTTTTCCCACAAGTTTGGATAACTGAGTTTTACGCTTCACATTCTCAGCAAAGTATTGAGTAGTTAAATGTAATTTAACTACATTTTATACAATTAAAATTAGTTAAATACAGATAATTATTTTTTTTTCTTGTTAACAACCAGGATTATTACAAGTTATAACTATTCACCTAAAATAAAAAAAATAGTAGAGAATCATTATTAGGAAAACATTGAAATGTAGGCTGCAATAACATACAATGTTATTTTTGAATAAATGGATATCCACAATGTTAGTTACCTACACAAGTAAGCCTACTTGATTAAAAAAAATGAAATTAATCTTAGTAATGTAGTTACTTTAGTTTTTTTTAAAAAAAATATTGACTATTTTCTTGGTAAGATTATCTATGAAATGAATTGTAAATTAATGTTAAAACTCATCAATCAACATGAACATTTTAGAGTTTGTGTCTAAAATAACTTAATCTATAATATTTTATGATTTAATATCATGTGGCCTATCAGTGATTAACAAATGTCATTAATGAATCCATTTAAATAAAAAATGTAAAAATTAGTCCTTCTATCTCACTTAGGTATTGTGGTAGATAGAACAAGGGTCCCCAGAGATGTCCACATCCTAATCCCTGGAACACCTGCACGTGTTGAATCACATGGGAAAGGGACCCTGCACAGGTGATTAAGGTTTTACATCCTGAGAAATGGACATTATTCAGGTCGAGCAAATCTAATCACATGAGCCCTTAAAAGATAAAGAGAAGGAAAGATGGGATGTCTTAGAAAAACACATCTAATTTGGGAGACTTATCCAGTCACTGGAAGGAGGGCATAGTACTGAGAGTCTAAACCTCCTGAGTAAGAGAGGAATCTGCCTGCCTGATGGTTTTCAAAGCAGAGCATTAGCTTTTCTTTGTCTTTGTGTGAAAACTAAGGCATGAGCTCTTCCTGGGTCTCAAGTCTGCTTAAATAGAACTGCATGATCTACCTTTTACGTTCTGAGGTCTTTGGATTTATATAAAAATGAAACCACTTGCTGTTCTGCTTCTAAATTTCACTAACACACTATACAGATCTTTGGATTTAACAGTTGTATAATAACATAAACAATGTCCTTTAAAATTCATATATTAACATATATGAATCCCAAAATGTAGTGTGTTTATATATGTATATAAATAACTTGATTCTTTGTGTTCTGATAATTGGTGTCATCCCATAACTTGCTCATGCTGGATACTGTGGTTCTTAATTACATTTTATTATTTTGCATAAATTCCAAATCCTTGGTTAATTATTTAATCTTTTTTTCACCTGTCATCTAGTTTTAAATAATTTTCTTAAAACTTCATTGTAGTTATTTTAAACTCCTTGATTGTCATTCCCAGTAAATGAATGTGTGTAAGGAAAATAAAAAGGAGACACAGAGACAAGATGCAGAGGCAGAAAAAGTGGCAGGATGGCAGAGAGGGGCCAAGCTGCCAAGCTTTATTTCTATCAGTAGGTTACTTTAGATCATTGGCATCAATAGTACCTATTGTTCATTGTATTACTAGGCAGCTTATAGACTTAGCAACATTATGCAGCTTACTCCTCAGTTACATATTAAGTTGCAATGTGCAATGTTAATAGCTTTGTGAAGCTCTCAACAAAGTCCATTGTATAAAATTTAGTGTTATGTGGACAGGTTTAGGCTCAGTGAAACATTGTGGTTGTCTAACAAGAGAATCTCTTTATTCCCAGTAGCTCTTTGCTTGAGATCAAGGTTGAGGCTGAAAAGACTCTAACACAGAGACTCCTCATGAAGGACATTGCTACAGCAGCCAGGCATCCTGTGTCTCTGCACAGAAGTTTTCCCAGCAGCCAGGCATTCCATGTATTTGCACAGAAACTTCCTAGCCATCAAGCATGCCACAGTCATGAAGCTATCAGAGACCTCCATCCCATATACAGAACCCCCTACAAATAAGTGTTATTTTTTAGTGTATTTTGTCTTGTTTATTGATCAGAATAACTCACAAGTTTTCATAAGATCAGTTTGTTTATTTATTGTATGTAATATAGCTTTGTTAATATAACTCTCTGGTCTGGGTTTGTTTCTCAGTGTTAGACAACTTGCCTAGCATGCATATGGTCCAGAGATGGATCCCCATTACTATGCAGAAGTAAAGAGAAAGTGAAGCTCCCCCTAAGTTCATACACCTATCGATGACATCAATTAATAGTCTTATGCTGTGAAAATAAGGAAGCTTATAAAAATATTGGGGTTCTATGAATGACAATTCACACTTAAATCTCATTGTTTCAGTAGAACTATGTGTACAATGTATATAAGAGTAATTCAGTTAATTTTGAGAACCTCCATTGACTAACTGGCATGCTTTTGTCTCCATTTCAGCATCTCCAGCAGAGGATGCTTGTCTATGATTCTTTCCCCTTCTCACCAAGCACCTGCTCATTCCCCATGGTATAGCAGCCTGCATCATGTTCACCTTTCTATACCTTCAAAATGCATATCATATTCAGTATTGCTGACAGTAACACTTCAAAATTGCATGAGATTTTTGATATATTCTCAATGACAATAAATACATTTTAAAATGTTCAAACTATTTTGAAGCAACCTCCAAGTAACAGGTATCTTTTGTAGAATTCTAACTTAAAACATACACACACACACACACACAAACAAACACACATACACCACAATATTATAGAGAGTGGAAAGAAAGTTCCTATTTAAATTATCACTGACAATATTGTTGTTATGGTTGACAATCTGTTTTGGGAAAAAATTACAATGATGGTCCTTAGCTATTCTCTAGTTATCATTGTAAATAAATCCACTTAAACTCTTTGAGTTACTAACAATGATACGAAAACATGTGTAGAAGTCCTCAGTTTTATTGGTAAAATAACCCACCTGGACAAATGGAAACAGGTCCTTTCTTGGTAAGTAGTTCTGTGACAATTGAACTGACTCTTGAGCAAAAATTCAGCTATTATGCATTTAAAAGCAAAAAACACTAGTCTGTGTCATATATATGGGAAACATATTTATACTCAGTATTCTTATCTACAAAGTAATCCACCTTGTATCACTTCTGAGGTGACAAAAGGTGTCTCAGAGGTCCCTATTTAACAGGCTTTACTGTTACAGATAAGATAACTAAAGCATGGATACCTACTGAATAGTTTGAATTAATTCATTTTGTAGCTAGTGACATGATGTTATGATTGGGAAGACTTTAACATGTCACAG